AGGGGGGCTGAGGCAGGATGATCACAAGTTTGAGTCCAGTCTTGTAACTTAGTGACTTAATAAGAACTTATCGGGGCTGGTGAGATGGCTCAGTGGTCTAAAGTACCTACTTAGAACAAGCTTAGCAAAGCACAGGGACCGCGGTTCAATCCCCCAGCACCACATGCCAGCCAGCCCGCCCCCTGGTGGGCTGAGCTGGCCGCGCACACACATACACATACACACATAAATAAATAAAAAAAATTTTAAAAAAAGTACATGAAAACTTTGAACAAAGAAAGATAAAAACACTGATGCTTTCAGCTATATTTTACCCACCTGTTGTAAATTCAGGGTCAAATAACTTGCCCATATTATCATTTATATATTGGAAATAGTAACATTAATTTTATAAATAGTATGTACTATTGCCAGATATTTAAAAATTAAAAAAATACATATACACTATGATAAAATAGCTATGCAAGTAAAGTTTTAATTTAACCACATTAGAAGTCATTTATTTGGACATGAACATATTTAATTACAGTGAGCCCAGGCATTTGTTATTTTTTAAAAGATTTTAGTCAATAGCCTGAATATATGTAATTAAGAAGAGAAAATGCACACCAGTCTTTTTCTTTCCTTCTAGGAGAAAGACACAGCTGAATAAATAGAATGCTTGGAGCAGAGGCCAGCAGCTCAGAGTACTTCTTGGGCATAAATGACCCCACGTGAGTTCCCCAGTGAGTTCAAAGGAAACGGTGATCACAAATAACACTTATGTGGCAATTATTTGTTATTTATTGTTCTGTAGTATCAGTTCTGTAACTTTTTTATGTTACGTTCTACTACATTATCCACAAAAATGTTTTTTGTTAGGCATCCTGACTTGATATTAAAGTCAAACAACTAAAATGACAAAAGAGACTAAAATTGGAAGATTTAAAAGATCTCAGCACGATCATCAGGCCACTGAGCGCACTTAACCGAGTGAAGAACCAAATTTAAAATTCTTCATGGCTCGTGTGCAGCTCAGTGTGCTGAGGGGCTCAGAAATGCCCTTTCCCAAGCTATCTTTCTGCAAGCTGCTTTAGGGTTAAGACGCGGACAATCTGAGGGGTTTTAAACGATGGTAATGAGTGAAAGCGATGCATCAGAATTCTTTAAATGTTTCCTTGGATTAAAAAATGTTTTTTTAAATAAGCCCACAAGCAGCTTTCCCATACTGAGAGGGACCTGGGAGCTTCTCAGCGGAAGTTTATGCTGTGTTCATCAGATGGCCCTGAAAGCTTACGCTCACTTCATGGTCTCTTCCTCCAGGGACACTGCACTCTTCCCAGAGGTGTTTAATCGTGCTCAGTTAAGTGAGTACTTTAGTATTTAGTACATGAGGCCATAACATGCATTTGGCATCATTTTCTGTTAAATTGAATGTAATTTTTTGACAGAGATATCTTAGGAAAGCTACTCTATAATATTCATCTATATATTTCAAATTCCAAAATATAAATTTTATAATTTGAGATAGCACTCAAATTATCTAAGTATTTTTAAATACCATGCTGGTAAATATCATGAAGGAAAATCAAATATATTGCTATTTTTGTAAAGCTAGCTTCAAATTCCAAGAAGATAAGACTCCGGCCTGTGAATTGGTTGCAAATTCCTGCTTAGCTTTCTCTTTGTGCTGTTTGACTATTCCTTACTCTATTTGCTAAATAGTTACTCATTTTTTTACTTTTAAAACATGTCTTTTCTAAATAATTGTTTAATCTTTTTTTTAATTATGATGTTCCTAATTTAATTACATGTATACTCTGGTGTATGTTTTATCTTTGTTGGGTTTATAGTATGTTTATTTTTTTAAAGACTACAAAATAGTGATAGATAAAAACAGCATTAGAAATGATACAAAATTTCACTAAATGAAGTAATAGGAATTCAATAATGGTTGCTGTATTACAGGATGCTATCTTCAAATTAGTTGTTCAGGTTAACAGATTCATTTAAAGAAAAAAAAACAAAGCAACAGCAGAAAACTATAAAGAATTCAAAAGAAGAAAAAAAAATAAGAATAAAAAGAAAACAATTTTAAGCATTAACTGCTCCTGTCAAAAGACCAACAGAAATTGACAGTACAATTATCCAAACTATTCAGCATATATAACTAAACATATCTTTTTCCAGTCCTTCCTTTGCCCTTTTCTTCATCCTGGGTTTATATTATGAACATTTGATTTTATTTATAAAGAATAAGATTTCATTTTTACTCTTCTACCTCTGTCTCTGGCTGGACAATCCTGTTAAAAAGCATACGCTGAAATTTGTTTGAATGATGTCAGAAAGACTCTGCCAGGCCGCAGGAGGCCGTGGTGAGGCGTGAGCTCCACAAGTGTTCGTGACGAGGGATCCAGATCGCTGCTGTGGGTCCCCCATCATCAGAGCGCGGAGACACAGCGAGGGTTCAGCACCAGGTCGGTAGCAGCAGGGGGCACTTAGCACGTGCACCTCCAAGTTAAAGCACGGTGTGTGCCAGGCAAGCTGGGCGCCGCCTGTGTGCTGCGACGGACAGGTGCGACGGCCCACGGAGACAGACAGCTAATAGGCTCGGCACTGGTGTTAGAGGGGAGCTTGCCGCCTTGGAGCGTGGCGGGGAATGGCGTCCCTGACTCTTCACTCGGGTTCTGCTGGCAACTTCTCCTTATGGAGGTCTGCAGATTCTGTCTTCGCCGAGGATGCTATACTGAACTCACTTAAGGGCATTCTTTTTTGACTAAACCTGAATATCTAGCTTTATAACAATCATGATTTGTGGCTCTGTTTTGTGGCTGTGTATGCAGCTTTGAAATAGTGGTCATCAGTGCACATTAGTCACCAGAATACTAACCACAATTATCAAGAGCACCTAATTGGGTATATTTTAATTTCTCTCTCTGTCTCTCTCTCTCTCTCTGTCTCTCTCTCTCTCTCTCTCTCTCTCTCTCTCTCTCTCTCTCTCTCTCTCTCTCTCTTCTCTCTAACTGTTTTAGAAAGATTAGCAATGTGTAATTATTTAAAAAACAAACAAAGTCATTCCTTCCATTTGACAAGGAAATAGGGACACGATTTTAGCTTCTGTTGACATCTAGGAGATGAGAGACAGTAGGGCATCATACAGACAAAGCCGC